TTAAAATTATTTTTTTTTACATAAAGTTATCGTGTTAAGGTATTTAATTTAAATATTTCTTTTAGCTACGGATGAATACAGTTTGAAATCTGAACCAGAATATATGGAAAAACCTTTTGAAATTGATGAATCGCAAGAAACAGGATCATCCAAGCCTAAAAGGGCTCGTAAAGAACTATTGACCTCTAGATTAGCTGCTGCTTTTGACAAATGCAAAATTAGTGAAAGAGACGCTGTACATTAGTTAGTTGCGTTTTTGGAAGCTGTATCAATAGATCCTTCTGACTATATTATCAACAGGACTTCCATACGAAATGCTTGAGCTGTCTATCGGGAATCATATGACCAAAAATTAAAGCAATCCTTCACTAATTTAAATGTAAAGTCGATCGGTTTTCACTGGGATACTAAAATAATGGAAAATATATCGATAGATTAGCAGTCATCGCTACTGGTACGAATTTTCAACAATTATTGGGAATACCGGAAGTGTCGGCGGGGACAGGGCTTGAAATTTCATCTGCAGTTTTCGATACTTTAGAAAGTTGGTCACTACTAGATAAAACTCAAGCATTTGTTTTTGATACGACTGCGTCGAATACTGGTAGATATAATGGTGCCTGTACATTATTAGAAAATAAATTAAATAGAGATATTAATTATTTTGGTTGTAGACACCATATATATTTGAGATAATTTTAGCTGACATTTTTAAAAATGTAAAATCTCACCTATGACAGGTCCAGATATTCCTTTATTCAAACGATTTAAGGCAAAATGGGATACTCTAAATTTAAATAAATTTGTTACCGGAATCTCCTAACATAGATATTAAAAATGCATTAGGAAACAACTACATTTAGTGGAATATGCAAAACTTAAACTTTCGACAAATTTAATCCGAACAGTGTAAATTGAATACTTTTGTGTTTTAACTAATGTTGATATACTATACTTTTTATAAACTGTTCTATAATGTTTATTATTGTTTATAAGGAAAAGTCTTGAATACAATCCTGATGGTTTTGGTTTCTATCAAGAATTTTAATTCAAACATTTTTTTTTTTGTTACTAATGAATTTATGAATTATATTAAATGTATTGTTGATGTGTATGTAATTGTTTTGTATAATATATTGTTAAAAATTGTTTTATTATATTGTAAATAAATTAGTTTTCTTTAACAAAAACATTAGTCATCTTATTTCATTATCTTTATTATTTATTCTATTATACTATTGGATTGTTACTTGTGATTATTAACTATTACATAATAATTACAAATATATGTCTTAAAAATATATGTACTATTTTTATTACAACAAATTTATTATTATTCTTTATTGAATTAGATCTGAAAATTATAGAAACAGATTTGATAAAGGTTTTGGTGAAATATTGGAGACGAAAAAACAATTGTCTGAAAAATCTGGTGGTATATTGGAAATTTCAAACAATCCATTATGTATTGTAATTTTTACTCCACTTATGATGAGAGCTCACAAAATGTCTTTCTCCAAAGACATTGTTTTTGTTAACTCCACAGGTTCGTGTGATCAAAGTGGTTCTTGTATCACATTTTCTTTTGGCGTTTCAAAGGTTGGTGGAATTCCCTTAGGTGCTGTCATTCATAAATACTCAACAAAAGATAATTATATCCAAGTGTTTAAGTTATTTAAAAAATCTTTAGGAGAAAATGGTTTTTGTGGTTAAGCTCAACCTTCGGTATTCATGACAGATGATAGTATAGCCGAACGTCAAGCTCTACAAGAAGTCTTTCCTAAGTCTACTTTATTGCTATATGCTTTTCATGTTTGCCAGTCCATTTGGAGATGGTATTGCGATTCCAAACATGATGTGGCAAAAAATGAAAGAAAATCATTAATGTTAAAATTTAGAAATATTCTATTTGAATCTAATGAAGATGATGCTAACAAAAAGTTAAATGATTTATGTGCCAATGAAAATGAAAAGTTTTCAAATCATATGAAAAAAATATCAAAAGAGGATTAAAGAATGGGCAATATGTCATAGGAAGGATTTACTTATTCATGGTCATAACACAAATAATATAGTAGTCTTCAATAAGAATATTCAAAAGTTTTAGATCGCTGTAAAGCATTTGATTCAGCTGCCCTCGTTGATTTCATATATGATGTTTTAGAGAACTACCATACAAGACGATTAACAAAATATGCATCTTATCGGGTTACAAAGCTAGACTTATTTTACAAAAAATTTATTAAAAAAGCAGAACTTCTCCAAGTTAGTGATGATGGGGATATTTATAAAGTAACATCAAGTACCTAAAATTGCTATTATACTGTTCGTTCTTTAGAAAATTATGAGTCTTGTGATTTTCCAGCAGGTCAAGGTGGTGTTTTTTGCAAACATATATGTGCTATACACTGAAATGGATTTGTTGTTCAAAATAATCCACATTTATCTTTTTCTGACCATGTTCAACTTGGAAAACTAGCAGTAGGCAAAGATTTTGATAGTTAATTTCTATAAAGTATGAATATTGACAATGTAGTTAACATAGAGTTGGATACGACAAATTACACTTCAAGAGGGGCAAGTACTTCTACTGCTGAATTTTCTTCAGTTGCAAATATTAATCCAGTTGAATTGGAGGAGGAGTCCAATACGTCAGAAGAAATGAAATCTGAATTAACCGTATTGCAGGGTGAAGTTGACCGTATTAAGCAAATGGTAGATGAAAATAGTAAAGATCTATATCTCCTGAAAAATTTAAAAAAATTCAACAAAAACTTAAAAAACATCACAACTGTTACATCGTTTGTTAATGTAACCAACCATTTTATCAGCCACAAAAAACAAATTGGAACCCAGCCTACATCTCGGTCAAGAAGGAAAGTTGGAATATCTTCTGGAGCTAAACGTATCCAAGCTGGTCGACCATCTACTACCGAAACAAATTTATCAGTTAGGAAAAAAAAGAATGTTTGGGTTGAAATATAAAAAACAATGTGACAAATGCAAAATCCCATTAATTTTCATTAGTATTATTTTATTTACGATTATTGATAGTGTTTTTGATATATTTGAAAATTGCATACCTATTCTTCTTATTATAATTTTTGATATATATGTATGTATTGACTGTATTTACTATTGTAATTATTGAATATTGAAAGTATGAAGAATGTATTAGTTTTTAATTAAACTGCAAAGATTGTTAATAAAATAAGCTGTTAGTAAATTATAACCACAGATTGAGTCTACTGTAAGCAAACTACAAAGTTATTATATAGAAAATTATAACTGTGATAACGTATCTAATTGACAGATGTGTTACGCGCATGTGCATTGGGTGATGTGCATACCCGTTTGGCCGAATTCAGTTACGGTCTGTAAACGTTAGGTTAACCTAACCTAGCCACGTGAACGACCACTATTGGAGAACTTGCTTGCAGACTCAGACAGACTGTTACGGCGAATCAATCCATTTGCGGTGGCTCACGAGTAATATATATTACTTTAAATTATTAACATATACATAATCTATCAAAATGAGTACATCACACTCATTAACAAACTATATTTGTAAAATCAAATAAAAATATTACTTCAAGCTGTAGTGTGTTGAACACACATTACATTAGTATAGGTATTGCACTTTTATAAATTTCTATATGATACAACGAATAACTTTGGTTAACATTGAATTGAATACACATTCGTGTAGACAGTAGTGCAACATTTTTATTTAAAAATTTGTAGTTTACATTATAATTACTACTCACCCATTAAAAAACCTATTTTAAGTTTAAACGATACGATTAAATTCCCACAGCTCCTTACAATTTCATATTCACTACTATAAATATATCATATATATATAACAATATATATATATATTGATTTTACTTTTATTGTGTACATTTCCATTGCAGTGTAAATTTTACCAAAGAGACGTTTACTTAATACTCTCATGCAAAATGGTATTTCATAGTTTCCATTATTTGTACTTAATAATATGTTTTTAAAAATATCAGTACATCTACGTCTAGGTTGGGTTAGGTTATTTTTTCCTTTTTTCCATTTATTCTTTATCCTTCTACTGTACACACATGTGGCTTTAATAATAACACAATGTTATTTTCTTACAGAAACATGCGACAAGTATGACAAAGGGAACAAGGTGCTGCTGCGGCCAATCCAATGTTGCAACCGAAAAGGGTGACCATGCACATCGTCGCCGACCCGAACAATGACCCACGGCGATACAGTCAACCAGCTGCTCAATTGAACGAGGTAGCACTTGTCTTTATTGTTGAAGATGGTCTACCACCAGGGAATCTCGATCTGGTCATCTATGACTCGAACCCAGTTGACCCAAATCACCGGATGCAAAGCATATCAGCTGGCTCACCTCATGCAGATCCAATGCTCTTCCCACATGGAGAAACCGGCTGGCATTACGACTTGCAACAAGAGCGATCTGCCGGAACGCAGTGCGTGTTCGAAACTCTATCAGAGAGTTTGCTTCTTCTCACCTGGCCATCAGATACACAGGAACCAATAGCAATGGGCATGAAGGACATACGTTTAGTTTATTACACGCAGGTGGTTTTTTGTTACAGCAGTACATATGTGATCAGTACGTTCGCGTCTAAGCGAACAATCTACGTTACATCCGAGACAACCAGAAAGCACTCTTTGCTGACGCCTATCATGGCCTTCTGGACCATATTAACCAACAGCTCCGCCTAGACGAAATCGATCTGGTCGGCCGCAGGACAATTCTGCTTTCGACGTTTCTAGGTGGTCCTCGGTACATGAAACAATGTTACCACGACGCAATGTCCCTTGTGCGTAAGTACGGATAGCCTGACTTATGCATAACATTTACGTGTAACCCTAAGTGGCCAGTGATAGTAGATAACATTCCGCGTTGGTTGAAGGCAACCGAAAGGCCTGATTTGGTGGCGAGGGTGTTTCACGCAAAACTGAAGGAGCTCATGCGTGATATTATGGTCAACAAGGTGTTTGGTAATGTAGATGCTTATGTTTACACCATTGAGTTTCAGAAACGTGGTCTTCCACACGCACATATACTCATCATCTTGGATGAGAACAGCAAGTTACTTACTGCCGACGACGCCGAAAGTGTTGTGTGTGCCTACTTGCCTGACCCTGCATCCGAAAGGCGCCTACTCGACAATGTGAAAACGCACATGATTCATGGTCTGTGCAAACCACACAACCGCAACAGTCCGTGTATGGTGGACAACAGTTGTACGAAGAAATATCCCAAAGAATACAGCGAGGAGACTGTATACATTTCTGATGGTGGTTACCCGACTTATCGTAGACCGAACAATGGACTTGTGATCAACGTCAGAGGTCATCCTGTCGGAAATGAGTTTGTTGTCCCATACAACCCATGCTTGCTGGTTAAGTATGATACCCACATAAACGTTGAGGTGTGCTCTCAGAGCGTAATGTATTTGTATAAATACGTCTACAAGTGCCATGACGCAGCTACCTTGGAAGTTTGGAATGGGGATGAAATTGAAAAGTAATTGAATTTAACTTATAGTTTTCATTGTTGACTTCTCAATAACATTCCATCTATCATTATTGTGTTAGATTATTATTATGATAAAAATGGTATTAACATTGTCCAAATCATTTTAAAGCTGCATCAATCTCAGTAATGTACGTCGCACAATAATATTTTATTCGACCGCAATTAGTAGAACACGAGATCACACGATAACGGATTTCGGGTATTTTAAAAGTTGTTTATAATCATAGTTCATACACAACGATTGTAAGCTAACAGTGAGATGTTAGTTATAGTTAGGACTGGGATTTTAGTGCTCTAAAAAAACCTGAAAAATGTCCTAAAAAAAATGCTTTTATGACCTAAGAACTCTAAATAATGCCCGAAAAAAATGCTTTTATGATCTACAAATTTTTTTATTTTTAATAATTTTAGTATAAATTACAATCAAAAGTTTTAAAAATGCATTATAAAAATCTATAACAAGTGTAAACTGTAAATACTTAGTTTTAGTATAAATCTAAAAAAAAAGTTGATTGTCCGATAATATAATACGAATTACGAGTACCTACTTATAATCTGTTATTTTTTATTTTTATTTAAAAACCCATTTTGGTGTAAAAATCTTAAAATAAAATTTCAAATTCATACACTTGGTTTCCATAAACTTAAAAAATGCTCCAACAACTCTAAAATGCCCTAAAAAATTAAGAAAATGACCTAAAAACTAAAAAATGCCAAAAAACGCAAAAAAATGCAAAATAAAGTAACTACCATCGTATCCTTGGCCTCTAAGGTTATCCATACTCAGACCAATCCCTTCTAGTTTATATTTAATTGCATTCCTGTAGTAAATGTCATTTCAATAAATCCCAAAAAGTCTTCTCTTATAATGAAATTTATAGTATCAACATATCGCACACAAATTGTCATCTGTTCTACTGTGCTTCTGTCAGTAGTCTCATCGCATAATATTGAATACAATTTTGAAAGCTTAACTCTTTCAACAATTTTCTTTTCAACCACAATTCCAATAGCATTAATTACCTCATTTTGTATTTGTGGGCTGATCATAGTGCAGTTTTTGGGTGCCTCCTCAAAATGTTTCCATAGATCTGTATCCCCACATTCAACACGAAATGAAAGAAGACCTCGGAATACTCCTTGTTCACCATTTAAGCAAGCTTGTCTAACTTTATCTGATGACAAATTACCCTGTTCACGGTGGCCATGTAATGGGAGGTTATGTTTGGCGCAAAATAATATTGTTTTTACTATTGGTACTAATCTTTTTCTATTATTTTCAATTGTTTTTTCAATATGTTTGTTTAACATGACATCCACAGAGACTGAATTTGAATTATTTAAGTTAACTAAAAAATCATTTGCTCTCTGGGCAGATAAGAGATGGTAGTCATTAGTTTGGTGCTTTTGAATTTCCTTCAATGGTTCTTTAAATTTCACCATAGGGGTTTTAACTAATTTTCCCAATTTCTGGAATATAAAATTTGAATATTTTTTATTTTAAAATATTATACACTCATATTTATTAGACTGATAATAAATGATTTGTATTTTGTTATAAGTTTATAATATTATATTTACCTGTTGGCCTACACCTCCTCCAGAAAAAGCAAAAACTACACAAAATTTACAATAAGCACCCTCATGTTTTTGACTGTAAGCTAGCTATGAAAATTGTGCAAGATATTTGTGAAGAAATCTTCTTTTTTGTTTACCTTCTAAATATTCTGGAAAGGAATAGCTGAATGGTGGTACCCATTCTAGCGTTAAGCAAGCATGTATTTCTTTGCTAGTTAATTGCCGTTTAACTACAAAATTAGCAATATCATTTTTGCATACAGCCTAAGCAAGAAATTAAAATACATGCGATAACCAAGATCTTATAATATATATTATATGTATAAAAGCGCATAAATTCAATAATAATATGATCATTAATCATGCCACATTTTTTAAATTTCTCACCTTTTCATTTTCATTTTTACTTTCATTGTCTTGTAATATTTCAGTTATTTCTGGCTCTTTTGTAATTATATTAGGTTTGACAGCAATATCTGTAGCATTATCAACTTGACTTAACGACAATGTTTTAACTAAAACATTGTTTTCAACTGTACATGGTTTTTTTTCTTTATATTAAAAATGGTGAATAAATTTTGTCTTTTTTCTGCCATTTTGTATAAGTATTTCATAAAAAATAATTTTTTCAAGTTCTTAAAAACACAGTAGTCACTACAACTCAGTAACTCACAAGTCAGTAATATTGTGGGTAAGTGAATGTAATCATAAAATCTATTATCTAGGGACGTTATATCATTATCAAATCAGAGCGACGATTAATAATTTAGATCATTCTGTGTAATATCTCGGGGGGAAGAACTTCCCGATGCCCGTCTGACAACCTGATCATACAGTAACACCACATTGAAAAAACAAAATTCGTAAAATTGGGATACGACCATTTTCGCTGCGGGTATCGATATGATATGATCGTATATGATCTAAGATTAATAATATTAATTTGTGATATTGAGGTGCTCAGCTGCATGGTATAAAAATTATAGTGATTATAAAATGATAGTGACTCGCCACAAAATGCATTATAACCACATATTCGTGATTATAACCAAGATAATTATTATAAATATCACGATCTTTGGTCTTACAATATAAGACCGTGATAAATATTATAATACATTACATAACCTTGCATGATATTATGATAACCACCAAAAAGATAGTGATAATGACGGTAGAAACTAGAAACTAAAAGTATACTTTTATTATAATCTATAAATGGTAGTACCTACGCCAAAGACATACTTATTCGTCAGTCGTCAACATTTAGTTAGTACCAAAGATTTAAAATACTTAGATAGTAGTATACTATGCATAGGTACACGATACACATAAACACAGCTCATGGGGGGGGGGGCTATAGCCCCCTTAGCCACCCCCTTGGCTACGCCACTGGAGGTATGTTTATTTTTCGCGTGTGCTATAGCCTATAGAACATAATAAAGTCATCCCGTTCGTGATTTGAAGTCTATTGTTAATTGTTGTCAAAATATTTTATATCATACATTTTTTAAATCTATGAACACAATTATTCAATTAATCTAATATAGTTTTAATAACCAGTCACAACCAACTGAACTAGCGGGAAATGCATCTCCAGAAACAAATGTATCAGTGTCACTTCCAGAGATTGTGCACCAACATGACATAGGATTATATGTGAATAAACCTGCAACTGAAACTATTGACTTGTTTCCAGGACTTCAAAATTGGACTTGGACACCTGAAGGAGACTATAAATTTCCTGTTTCCGAAAAAATAAATTTCAAAGAAGTTGGTTGCTTAAATATAAATGATTGGCTTATTCAGCAATTATGAATGGCGTATTTTGTTAAGTATTGTGTGTTGTTTTCTGTCAAAGGTGGAAGAATTGGACATCAAAAGTTGGGACTGTTAGTTAAAAAATCGTTTACAAACTGGAAAAAAGCTTTAAAATCATTTAGTTACCATAACTCACTTGAGTATCATAAAACTTCATTATTAAAATCAAATATGTGAGCAGAAATTGAAAACCAAAACATTTTACCAGTTGATTTACAAATTTCGGAACAACAATTAGATTTCATTAACGAAAGTAAAAAATGTTTGATTCCTATAATCGAAACTTTAATATTATGTGGCAGGCAGGGTTCAAATGATTCAGGAAGAATAACCTCCGAAGAACCTTTAACTAACGATGGTAATTTTCGGGCTCTTTTGAGTTTCGAGCAAAAACTGACAATCAGCTTAATACTTTTTTGCAAAATTCCTCAAAAAATACCATGTATATCAGTAACCGTATACAAAACGAACTTATTGTAATATTTCATAAATTAATTCAAAAACAGATTATTGAACTAGTCAATAAATCTCTAGCATTTTCAGTAACAGCAGATGAAACTGCCGATATTGCTGGCATAGAACAAGTCTCAATATGTGTAAGGTATTTAAATAATGATGACGGTAAATTAAAAATATGTGAAGATTTTAAGCTTTGTACCTGTAGCAGATGTAACTAGGAAAGGTTTATCAAATGTTAATTTGGATTTCCTTGAATATTCAGGAATTGACTGTGCGTATTTATTTGGACAAGGGTATGTCAGGGCTAGTACTATGAGTGGTGAATTTCACAGAGTTCAAGCGTATATCAGAGAAAAGTATCATTTAGCTCTCAACTCACACTGTGCTGCCCATAGTTTCAATTTGGCCGTTAGTGCCGCATGTCGTATCTCCCAAATTAGAAACTGTCTTGGTTCAGTCTTGGTACATTTACAACTTCTTTAATACACCAAAATGACAAATTGCAATTCATGATGCAATACAAAATAATGAAACTTTGTTACAAGAAAATAAAAAAACTTAAAAAATACTGCGCAACAAGGTGGGTACAACAGTATGAACCAATTGGAACCTATATAGATTTACAACCAGCTGTTATTGACGCCTTAGAAAACATTTCAAGTACCTACTTGGACAGATTCAAAAACAACATCCGGATCTTTTCGACTTTTTTCAGCAATAAAAACCTTAGAGTTTCAAGTATCAATTCACGTTTTGCATTCAGTACATGCATTGGCTTTATCATTGAGTAGAGTTTTACAAACAGAAAATCAAGATTTGGTTGAGGCTGTTATGTTAGCAGATGCTGCAAAACTCGAACTTGAAGAAAGAAGACAATATTCTACAGTAAACTTCAACAAAATTGTTGTGACTGTAGAAGATATTTGTAAGAAATACAATATACCTACACTTAACCAAGACTTGCATCACGCTAAACTAACCGTTCTAACATTATAACAGACTCCGTACCAGATTATTATACAATTATTATTTACATACCATATCATGATTTATTTATCACTCACCTTCAAGATCGCTTCCTCAAATATTGAAATATTTTGTCCAACTGCTCATGTCTTTTTCCTATTGAAACTA